TAATATTTTTGACTTTGTTTATATAGTATAATTTTTTGACTTAGGGGTACGGATAAGCCCTTCCCTCCACCCTAGCTCCGCCTATGTTGTGTCAAATCATCATATAAAATTCTCTTCATTATTATTCATGCATAACTACTCCTAGTAACTAGTTTTATAAACCAAAAGCTAGGAGGGATAGTAGTACTTTAGCTAATAAATACAGAGTCTACAATTTTGTTAGTGCACCTCATCTAAGGGAGACAAGTGGGCCTGTCCAGGCCCGGGACCGCGGGTTAAACGGGCTAAACGGGCCAGGATCGTTTGACCCAGTTTTAGTGGGCCTGGGCCGGTCCTATGATTTGGGCCCGCCAGGCCCGGGACCATTTAGCCCGCCAGGGATCGGGACTGGTCCGGAACCGGATCGGTCCCTTAGCGGGCCAAACGGTCCCAACGGCTATTTTTAAAAAAAAATATAGCCATTGGGCTTGTCAAAAATAGCCGTTGGCTATTTATAAAATAGCCATTTAACCCTCCAACTTTGTTTTAATCCCAAACTTTTTATAATTACACTTTTTCCCTATTTTCAACTATAAATACCCCATCATTCTTTCATTTTTTCTTATAAAATCATCAATCTATCACAATCTCCCTCTAATTTTCTTCTATAATTGCCACTATTGTTTACTTTATTGTTACTAAGTGTATAATATATAAGCTATATTCGATATATATATATATATATATAGCTTATATATTATACATTTAGTATATATACTATACTATACTATATATACAACTTATATAAGCTATATAAGATGTATATATAGCTTATCGATGTATATATATATTATATATATATATATATTATACTATACTATACTATATGTACATCTTATATAGCTTATATACTATACACTTANTTAACATCCTTTTATCTCTAATATCTATTTAATTTTTATATATATATATATATATATATGTTGGGCCAACTTAGCCCACTTAGCCAGTTTAATCCGGGACCAAACGGTTCCGATCCTGGTCCCTATCACGGACCGGTCCTTACAAAAAGCCAATTTAGCCCGGACCCGTTTAATTTGAGACCGGCCTTGAACGAGTCCGAAACTATTTGGACCAGCCCACTTGACCCGTTTAGGTCCGGGACCTGCCCACTTGCCAGCCTAACCCCATCTATGTCCACCATTCAAACTCTTCCCGAAAAGCCCAACAAGCCTGACAATTTCTTTACCACCTTTGTTCCCAATTCCCAAATTCCCCTTCCTTCTCTTTCTCTGTGTGGCACACTGTATATAGCACTTTACTTTTCTCTTCATTTACTAGTTGGAATCCTGAACTAAAAAACTACTAAAGCTGTAACTCTTTCTTTCCTCACCAAGACACAGCAAAAAATATCATGGAAGTTCTCTCCATGTTTTGGTTCATTTTCTTCATTCTTGTAAGTCTATTACTCTTTCAGCTTTCTCAGTCAGCAACTGAATTTGTTGATGGAGTTTCAAAATGGAAAAATTCAACTGTCCAAATTGGGGATACCATCAGTAAGTACTCTTGTAGTATGAACCATATTCTGCTATTCTTGGTGCTTAATTTGACTTTAACCAAACTTTGCATTTAAATTTGATGGCCCTTTATTTTGTATTTCTTTTTCAGTTTTCCAGCATAAGTATCAGTACAATCTCTACATTTTCCAGAACCAGAATGCCTTCACTTTATGCAATTTCACTGAAGCTACACTTCTTACCAAATCCAACTCCAAATCCTACACAGTAAGTTCAAAATTTCAAGATTCTAGATAATCTTGAATAAAAGGTGTTTAAGATTAGACTTTTTTTTCTTGATATATTAAAAGTGCCGGTTCAAGGCCAAAGCCTGTAAGGTTTTTTTGGGGCCCTGTTTTTAAATCAAATATATATATGAAAGGTTTTTTTTTGAAAAAAAATACTTAAGGTATCTTAACAGAATTATGCTTTAGGTTGCTAATTTTATTAAGCCGCCCATAAATGCAGTGGCGCCCATCAAGGCCTGGTATCTTTTACTTCTCATTCAACAATGGTAGTGGTACTGCGTCTGCAGCATCATGTTTACAAGGCCAAAAGCTAGCAATTAAGGTATCACTTTCACCTGAACTGTCACCAGCGGCAGCTCCACCATTTATATCTGGCAGCATTGTGTCATCTTCTCCGGCTTACACGTGGCCATTGCCTCCACGACAAACTGCTTCTCCTGCTAATAGTCCAATGGTTCCACAGAAAGGGAGTGATATTCCGTTTATAAACAGTAATCCAGCAGTTCCTTTGCCCACTGGTGAAGTAAATTCTGCTACTGTCCACCCTTTCCTCACTTCTGGTTGCCATGTAACACAGGTAATTAATCGGTCCGTTCACTTTTACTTGGCATGTTTTGATTTTTTATGCCCCTTAAGAAATAATAAATGAAGTGCATAATTTACCATGTTACCCATATTAATTGATGCATATTTTATTGAATTTGAGAAAATAATTTGAAATGGTAATAAATACTATGGGTAAAACAGGAAAAAATTTGTTGTCTTCTCTTGATATGCGTAAAGTGAAACTAAAAGTGAACATCTGTTTTTAGTATACATGCCAAATAAAAGTAAAAGTGACAGAAATATGTTTTATATCATTATTTATTATTTATGCTATTATTATCAATCTTTACGACTATAATTACTCCGCTTCAACTTCAAATAAGTGTGAGCTGATTATGTATGACTCCTCATTGTTGTTGATAAAAATTATTACGATCAATCTTTAATATTGAAAAATCAAAAGGCTATTCAACTTGCTAACATTATTATTATTATTATACTCCCTCCATTCTATTTTACATTGCAAATTTAGAGTACGAGGTTCAATATTCTGAATTATGACGGTGAAATTAGATATAGATTCTTCAAGTTTTTAAAAATAAAATTTATATTTTTGAAAACTACATGAAAAGTAATATAGGTCATAATAATTGATAATTTAAAATATTTATAAAATATTTAAGAAAAATATGGTCAAAGAACAATGGTGAACTCCCCAGGTAGTAATGTTGTCATATAAATTGAAAAATGTGGTAGTATTTTTTTCTAAACTATTTTGTTTGAGTATATTTGTAGTCCATAAATCACCTCTTCTACTTAGTGACTAGATTTTGTTTTTTAAACGTATAGAAACTTAAATATGAATAAGAACGATTATGGTGATGAAAATTTTGTATGGTTCATATAAAATTGCTTCAGGGGAAAGAGTACATTCGTAGTATATTTTTCTCTTGACTCATGAAAAATTATTGCATGATTATCAGTTTTTAAAGGTTAGGCAAATAATCACATGTATTAAGTAACTTGAGTCGCTTTCTAGTTCTAGTACTAGCTAGTAGGCATAATAATTGGTCATTGTGGGGAAAATTTTCTGGCTCACTATTTCTGATTTCCTTGAGTCGGGTGTATAATCGAATCAGTCAAACAATGGAGAAACAGAGCTCTTTTGTTACTTTTTCTTTGAAGATTTTTTTAACAGTATATATAGAACCATAAATTGAAGATTGATTAATAGCATGAAAGATGGATACTTTACTTAATTGTACACCATATGAAGCCTGATAATGGCGTATAATTGATTAGGTTTATTGTTTTCTTTTAATTTGTCATTGTTTTTTTTGCTTATTTATTAGATTAATTTTGTGTCTTCGGATTTTGAAATGCAGGCGGTGAAGTTTGTAGCAATTCAAAGCTCCTTGTGCTGTGCAATTTTCTTGATGCTGTTTTAAAATGACCAAAAGGGAGAGAAAGTAAGAGATATTTGTAAGTCAGTACATGTAAAAAGAAAATTGCACTGTAGCTTTAAAACTAAAATAGCTTTAAAGTGGTGATAATGATGATTAATACCATGTTTAGTACTGTAGTAACAGTATTTGGTGTTATATTACTATCCTTGACCCTACTTTCAAATCATTTCTTTCTTTATTTTCTCTTTAGTTTTGGCATACAATCATTTTTGCCTTCTACTTTTTCTACTTTGATCAGTCTTTTTGCCTTTTTATTTTCTTTGTTTGTTCTATTTCTTTCTGGTTGAGAATTGTAATTCCTCTTTAATAGGAAAATCATCTAACACCCATTTTAGAAGGTTATTGGTGGCTGGACCAATAATTTAAAATGTTGATTGTAAATCTGAAAACTTAAATTATTAATCTTCTTTTTGTGTTTTTTTTTCTATATGGTACTAAAGCTTACAAGTTGCCATATGGCATCATTATATAGTGATAAGGGTTTTCAAGGTTATGATTGATCTTTCTATAAAGAGAATTAAACCTAGGTTACGTTCTCTATTAACAAAAAAAAGGTTATAAAACCTCGATATTTCATCCTTATTAGCTTGTTTATTGTATGTTTTGCTAATTATGGACCACAGATTGATCAAATTTATGAATTGATTGGTGACGGTAACTGAAAATGATAAAATAAAATAATTTTATTTTTAAATCATGGATATGATTTGGGAAGTAACAATTATGCATTTATCATAAGTGGTATACAAATTTTCTGTGATGCTTAGATAAATTTGAGTGACTTTTTTATTATAAAAAACAATTTAACAATTTATGTGATACTTTGATAGTTGAGTGATTTTTTCGGCGCAAGATATAATTTACTGATTTTAGTGCAATAAAGTAAAATTTAAGTAACCACTTATTGATTTTAATGCAATAAAGTAAAATTTAAGTGACCATTTATGAAAGTAATATGAGAGAAAATTTAGTGGAGAATTACTTATATGTATTCAGTGGCGTAGTTAAGGTTGACAAGTGGGCCGGTTCAAGCCCGGGACCGCGGCCCATGTGGGCTTCTTGACCTAAACGATCCTTAACCGGATAAGCCTTTGACCGTGGAGGTGGGTCGGTCCTTCACATTGAGCCCGCGAGACCGGGACCGGACCGGTCCTTGGCGGGCATAAACGGTCCCAACGGTCATAATTTTTTTTAAAAAATCTGACCATTTGGGATTGCAAAAATTTGGCCTCTGGCCTTTAAAAATAGTCGTTGGCTATTTATAAAATAGTCATTTAACCCCTTCCCCAACTTTGTTTTAATCCCAAACTTTTTATAATTACACTTTTTCCTTTTTTAAACTATAAATACCCCCTCATTCTTTCATTTTTCTCACAAAATCATCAATCTCTCTCTAATTTTTTTTCTATAATTGCTACTATTGCTTACTTTATTTCTACAATTTGTAAAAAAAATGGTGAAGTTGGTGAATTGAAGTATTCAAATCTTCAACGATAATCAATTTTTAATAAGTTGTTCGTCAATTCGGTAAACTCGTTCCAACTCTTAATTTTTAATATTATAGTTTTGTTTGTTTTATTTATTTTCTATTATTTGATTAATTATGATATCTCCCTTAAAAAAACTTTTTGGTAAAAATAAGGAAAAATCCAAAAGTGGCGAATCTAGTGGCCAATCTGTTCCTCCTCCACTTCCCCCGGCTCCCCGATCCAAAAACCCCGTACCCGTCCTACACCTGCTATTCTTGATAGTGATAATAGTTTATTACAATTTATTGAGTGTCAATTTTGCCACAATATTGGAGCTGGTGAACAATTAGACCATGAATTAATGAATGCTCTTTATTCTAATCCAACTATTGATGAAAATGATGAGGAGGAAATAGATTTTGATGAAACGCAACCGGATGACGATACACTCACTTGTCCTGCTCTTAAAGTTAACCCAACTAATGATAATCTAAATGATGCCCCGTCTAACCCTCATGTTACTACCCCTACTTTTTCTAGACAACGTACCAAACGGACAGAAATATCTATTGTTTGGCCATTTTTAACTCAACTAATTCCACAAAATAAGGCTAAGTGTAAAACTTGTGGCAATGAATAAGCTTTTATATATTTTGGAGGTCGGGGTCGGGGGGTGAGGGGACTTTGGCTAGACACATATTGATGCACCCTCAAGATAAAGCCAAATATCTTCGTATGAAAGCCTTGGTCGAGGGGACAAATGTACTACTCCTAGTCAGGCTGACCCTAGGTATCCAAATATTTAGGTCACATATAATTTACAAGAAATTACCTTAAATATTTTTTATTACCTTTTTTTTCTCTCTGGCTCACTTAGTCCGGGACCATTAGTTCGTGGGCCTAGTCCCGGGTCGGTTCCTACAAAAAGACCACGAAGCCTGTTTAATTTGGGACCGGATCGGGACCGACCCACTTAGCCCGTTTAGACCCGGGACCGGTCCACTTATCAGCCTTAGGCGTAGTCAGGAATTACGTCAAGAGTTTTCAAGTTTTAAACAAGTCACTAATTTTTTTTGTCGATAAATGGTGTACCAAAATTTTTAAATCAAATTATGCAATATTTAGCTAAACAATAAAAAAAATCATTAATAGAATCATAATATTATAAATCAAAATTAAAATAACAAAAGGACAACATTAAAAATTTTATTAATAAAAGTAAAACTAAAGGAAAAAGAGAGTCGAGAGAATTTTAGTTTGTAAAGAGCTTTTGTTGAAGAAATTTTTGTGGAGCTTAGCTTTTAAGTTATAAAATTTATATAACAAATAATTTTTAATTAAAAAAATTACTTTCAAGATTAGTTGTTTATTTCTACGCAAATATTAAGTTTTAAGAGTTATTTTTATTAGTAAATTTAGATTGAAAAAGAATAAGATAGACAACACATAGTAATTTCCGTTTAGTTTTGGTAAATAAAATGGGCAGAACTTTGAACTCGTGAACAATACGTTACTTTGAACTTCGCTGGACTGCCTCACTCAGTTATGTTAAGAGTGTCAAAATAATATATATATNAGGTGGTAGCCCACCCTTCACGTAGGGTTGCTACGCCACTATGTATTCCTCCTCTTCTTCCCCAACTTTTTTCCTGTGGCCTTTTCTTTGTCAAACTAAAGAAGGATATATAATAGTTTATTAGTATTTCCTTTTACATTCTTTCCGCGCAAGTTTCCAAAATCAAAAGGCTTATAACATTCACGCGCAAAGCCCATTTTTAGGAAAATATGTCATAGTGGAACTAACGGCTATCTCCATAAATCCGATTCCAAAACGAATTAGGAATAACAACTGATTGCTTGCAAAAGAATCATCTAAAGTGATTAATTCCCAACTGAACTAGGAAATAATATGACAGGCCATCTCTATAGATAGTTCAATGTCTTCCCTCGAATTTATTTGGTTGTTTAAAAATTAACTCAAGAACGTTGTCCCCTATACTTTGTTAGCCCTGTTCTTTAGTTGTAGATCAAAGAAACCATGAGTAATCCCCATACTCGTCGCCAACTTGCTCATGGCAATCATCAACGTTCGCGACTGCAACTCTATCGGCGTAATGTTCGAATTATGAGGCGCCCATATGATCATTCGTCTAGATCACGATATCACACATCAGTTCATCATCCCCTAGAGGTTATTAGTCCTACTTTTCAAGAATATTACGTTGTGCAATTTACTATTCCTAGGGATGATGATGAATTCCTGACTCTGCAAAACCTGCATCAAGAGTTCAGAGCTTTTCCACAGAACTATATATCAACAACCAATTAATGGCGTCTACCGTTGGTGTTCACAGTGAGTATACGAATGGAATTAACATAATTAACTTGAGTGATCGTGAGTCACTTGTTATGGTCTTACTGGCAGATTTATACAAGAGGAGCAATCAACTCATGGCGTGCGTCTACCCTTGGTGTTCCCAGTGAGTATACGAACGGAATTAACATAACTAACTTGAGCGATCGTGAATCAGTGGATAGGGTCTTACGGGCAGATTTATACGATTTGCATGGCAGCCGATACTCGCAAGACAGGAGCTATCAACCCATGGTGTATACCATTGGTGACTCAGTGGCAGATCCAGGATTTCAAAGTCATGGGTGCTCGCCGATAAAAGTTCTACAAGAAGAGGAAAAATGAATTTAGTAATGGGTGCTCACTCGATACTTATCAAAAAAATTTGATCATTGCGTATGTAAAGCTACTAATCATAGTCAAAGACAATGGGTGTTGTATACGGTAAAAACTAGTTAGTCCTTCATACGAACTGGTTTAAATGGTAATACATTGGATCAGAGAAGCGTCTTCATAGTATCAGGTTGAGGTCCGAAGTCAGGTCACCAAGTTTCGAGCCCGAAGGACCGATCAACGCCGAGCTCGATGTTATTATCAAGCTCGAATCCAAATCGAACTATGATGCAAAATAAAGTTATCGAGCTTATGATTCAGAGACCGACCAACACTGCTCCGAATCAATACAGGGACCCAAGTCAGAATCGAGCTCGAGTCAAGACCGAAAACTCGAGTCAATATCGAGCTCACAGACAAGAGCCGTTGCAATTCCACTAGAGGAGAGAATCCTAGCAGGAATTATGGAAAAGCTGATTTATCATGGGTCTCCCACTATGTATTTTCTAATTATATCTAAAAGTAGGATCCTCCACTATAAAGAGGATGACTATATTTCTCTAAAGGACAGTTCTTTGCTTACATTGTAATTCAAGCACCATATTCTCCTATATTCAAGAGTTATTCTTTTAAGCTTCATAAATTGATTCATCTTGCTTAGTCCTAAAAATCATCTTCTTTCCAATCTCGTTTATTTTGCATTCTTTGCAATCCATATTTGATATTTTTATTTATCCTTACGATTTGTATTAAGCTATACCACATATCTTTAGAACTACGTACAAATTCAACTATATTCGTTTTTCGGGTAAACAGTTTGGCGCCCACCGTGGGGCTAAGGATAACAGTGGTTATTTGATACGAATCTGCAAAAACACACCGTTTTGCGCTTGTTTCTGAAAGTATGTTGGATTTCGGATTAGCAACGACCAACTGTCAATCAAATGGCCTTACCTATTGACAACGAAGCTGGTCTTCAGGATGAGAACAACAACTTGAC